ATTTTATATCTGAGTGATGAAGATAACACTGAGGCTAAATCACATAACAGAAAATAGTGTGTAATACCGTGAATGGTACATAGCACGTTCTCAACAAATGGCAATCATAATTATTGTTGATAAATATTATATGTCATTTCACTATTAGTATTACTATTAGTATTATCATTACTCTGTCTAAATAGTTCCTGTGAATTAAACTCAATTTTCTAATGGGTAGAAGTTTCACAGTTCTTGATTAAATTTTAATTGATTGCCTTCCTTCGAGAAAATTTTGTTCATAACTCAACTGTAACACTTTTTGATCAAAGGTTAGTTCTCTTTCACGAAAAAGACCATTAAACAAAAATCAAGCAAAACAAAAATTTTAAGACTTGGTATACAGAATAGAGAGAAACAATTCAGACAGCTATGCCTATATATGGTTTAAGAAAATCGAGCAGAATACTTTTCCCTCCCCCCCACAGGTAATCCAAATTTTATTTTTAATTTTTTTCCAGACGTATTTTTTTAAAATTTTTAATAGTGAGACATCATGAGGTACAGTTTCAGACTTACACACACATTTTTGTGCTTGGGTTTCAATTATACAATGATCAAATACCCATCCCTCCACCAGTGCCCGTTTCCCACCACCACAGATCCCAGTATCCTTCCCACCCCCCATATTCCCCATCCCACCCTGCCTCTGTAGCAGGGCATTCCCTTTTGTTCTCTCTCTCTTATTGGGTGTTGTGGTTTGCAAAAGAGGCAATGGGTGACAATCATGTTTGGTCTATAGTCTACTTTCAGCATGCTTCTCCCATCCTGGGAGGATCCTCCCAACACCTTTATTTGGTGCTCCCTTTTCTATCTGAGCTCCCTTTTCCCCTAGCATGTGTGCTTGGCCTCCAAGCCATGGAGTAAAATTCCTGGTACTAATCTCGGCCATTCTTGGGTGTTAGTCTCCTATTTTGTTACTTTATGTTCCCCAGATGAATGCAATCTTTCTATGTCTATCCCTCTCTTTGACCAGAATACTTTTGGAGTGAAAAAATTTTTATAAAATTATTGAAAGTTATTACTCAAAAAAGTGGTGCTATAGGTGCTTTATTGATGGAAGGAAGTAATACTAATAAGTTCTTTTTGTCTCTGTTTTTTGTAGTACTAATAAGCCTTGCATATTTGCAGTTATCTAATGCAGAGGTTAATTATGATAATGGTTTGAGCTTTCCTCATTCATGATTCACCTTCTTGAAAACCAAAAATTCGGGGCTGGAGAGATAGCACAGCAGGTAGAGCATTTGCCTTGCACACGGCCAACCCAGGTTCGATTCCCAGCATCCCATATGGTCCCCTGAGCACTGCCAGGAGTAACTCCTGAGTGCAGAGCCAGGAGTAACCCCTCTGCATCGCCAGGTGTGACCCAAAAAGAAAAAAAAAAGAAAACAAAAAATTTAAAAGCTCAACAAAAGATTTGCCCTTACACTAAGGGTCAAGATGGGTAGAGATCCAAAGAGTTAAATATTGTAAGATTTCAACTATGGTACAATAGGTAGTGAGAATACTCTTAGAACCTTGACCTTGGTGAAATAGTATTTCTGCGGCATATGACTATGATGAACTGATCTATCTGTTGAACCACTGTCCATCCCTATAGAAATATTAGCTGATGGTCAAGGAGTCCACAGTTTATAAATTCTTTGAGACGTACTGGACATATGCAGTAAGGACCAGCAGAAGTGTTTTCCCAAAGTAATGTCCAAAGGGGCATTTGCTTGGGGTAGGGATGGGGGAGCTGGGGGTGTGACCCAATCATAGAGCACTTCTATGCATGTGTGAGACCCTGACTTCCATTCCTAGCATGGCACAGTCCTCTGAGTACTCTGACAAATCCCTGAGAACTGAGTTGGTAATCCAAAACACACAAAGGCTTTGGTCTGCTGACATCAATCTTATATACTCAGTAACTGCACTGGAGCAGTATCAGGAGTACAGAAGCAAGAGGTTGGAGAATGGTAGCACATCATGTGGGTAAAGGGAGGAGGCAGGTCAAGGTGAAGGAACCTTCCTGTTGTTACTGATCTATTTTATGTTATTAAACAATAGGTCCCATATGGGCTGGAATGATAGCACAGTGAGTAGGGTGTTTGCCTTGCATGCAGCCAACATGGTCTATCTGAGTTCGATTCCTCCGCCCCTCTCAGAGAGCCCGGCAAGTGACCGAGAGTATCTCGCCCGCACGGCAAAGCCTGGCAAGCTACCTGTGACGTATTCGATATGCCAAACACAGTAACAACAAGTCTCACAATGGAGACATTACTGGGTCCGCTATAGCAAATCAATGAACAACAGAAGGACAGTGACAGATCCCATATATAATGGTGGACTCTGGGAATATGCTTGACTTGGATTCAGAGTAGATACGAGATTAATTTTGAGGGTTAGGGTAGAAGTAGCACGGAGTGTTTCAAAAGGCCTGACTACATGTGTTCTCTATTCAGCCTTGACTTTGAGCTGGCCCTTTGTAAAAGGCACCATGTAATAGTGATAAATAATTTTTCTGAGAGGTGATGAAAGGGCTGCAGCCATGGCAGGATAAAAGTATGGGGGATTTGAAATTCAAATGCATGAAGAACTGTTGTCTGTATTAGTAAGGTACTTTTGTGAATCATTTTAAATTAATGGCTTTTAAGGTTATACTTAGAAAACACTATTTCCACATCAATATCCTGCTATTTTCTTGAGAAGAGAAAGCAGGAAGCAAGAAGGTTGGGAACTGCAAAAGCTCTGAACTGCCATGGGATTCTGTCAGGCAGATGAATATCAGAAGCAGAGGCACCAAATAATAAAGTTGCTAATCAATAAGTGCTTTTTTTCTATTTGGTATTTTGTCTTTTGAAGGGGAAGATCAGAGGTAAAAAATTTATGAAAAATTCAATATACTAGTACAAAAAATTTTAAGCTGTGGATTCACAGCTGTCTTCAGCCCTTTATAGACTTAATTTCTTCAACTTGTACCAGTCTGTCAAAAGAATGAATAGAAACTTCACAGGTGAATTCTTGAGAAATAAAGAAATTAGAGTTGAACAAAAACCAGGGGCATCTAATAGATGAGAAAGTTGTGGCAGTACAGAGGCATGAGTGAATGAACCCCAAGAGTTTGGGGAGACAAGAGCAAAGAAGAGTGGTGGAAACTTCCCATTGGAGTTGCTGTAGAATAGATACATAGACCCCTTGAGCTGTTTGAGAGAGACGAGAGGGATGATTAAAATTTGACACTGTCATCTTTCCTTAATCTGACACCACGCTGGGACAGACAACTGAGTTAGGGGATAGTGGGGCTCTGGAACAATTTTATAAGCATAACACAAACCAGATAATCTTTAGCTAACATTGGAATAGCTAACTTCTCATTTCTCTCATTAGCTTCTATTCTCTGGAATCAGAGGATGGGCAGATGGCATTGGAGGGTACATAAAGGAAAAGGGTAGCCCAGTCAGGAATTTATAAAAATTATAATACCCATAATGGTTGAGGCATGAAACCCTTAAAACGCTGGTTCCGTTTGCTTCTTAAAAAGTCAAAAAACCTCCCACAAAAACAAAAACAAAACCTGTATATTAAGGACTAAAGTGGTAGCACATATGTCATTGTCAGAAACAAGGATAGCATATGACATCAGTAACAAAAATTTTCATTTGGCTTCTGAGCAATCAGACTGTAGCATTGAATCCAGCTGTCAATTTCATATAAAGTACCCAACCTTAGCTTGAGTAAGGTTGGGCCCGCACGGAGCCTGCTTTTGGCTGGTCTACCCAGTGGGTTCCTGTACCCCACTGTAGCCTAGACCTCTGACCCTCACACAGGACTCCTTACACGGACTTGATCTGGATCCTTTTGATTCCACCCCCCCCCCCCACCCCCCTGCCATTTTAGATCCTTCTGATGTAGGCAGGCAGGCAGATAGGGAAGGCCCCCTCCCCAGGTGATGGCAGTAAATTTCCTAGGAAGTAATAGCTCTGAAATTGTGAAAGTCAATCTTGCAGAAAACAGGAACTAAGGCCTGATAAGACCCTTACCTTGCGCCATCAACGAACTGTGAGGAGATTGGACACCTAGTCATGAAGAAAATTCCTCAATTACCCTGGACCTCTCCCTTAATCTGATTAATTTTAGTGATTCATCCCAGAAAAGACTACAGAACATTCCGGACCAAGACATCCTGAGAAGGTACTCTATAAAAGCCATCTTGAACAAAGGGAGGGCTGCATATGCTGCCCGAAATCATGTGCTGCTTGGGCCCATGTGGTTGAACACATGTGTTGCCCGCATCTCTCCTCTTGATATGTGTACTTTCATGCTTTCCTGTCTAATGCTGGGATGTGTGTAGGGCTCTCTTCACCCTTGAAGAAGTCTGAGTTCTCTCTTGAATGCGTTACTTTCTCTCTCTCTCTGTCTCTGTCTCTGTCTCTGTCTGTGTCTCTCTTTCTCTTTCCCTCCCTCCACATTTTCAAAAATCCTCCAAATAAAATCTATTTACTTCACTGCTTGTCTACTCCTGAAATACCTTTCTGTGAGGGGAGACAAGAACCCAGTAACCCTGGGTTCTAGGTGGCAGAGACGAATGGGGAGAAAGTGACCATCTTTCTCCTCCCCTCTTAACATAAGTCACCCGTGGAACCCACTGACATCACTTCAACAATTATTTCCCTAATACAAAAAAGCATTCATTAGGGCTAGAGCGATAGCACAGCGGGTAAAATGTTTGCCTTGCACACGGCCAACCTGGGTTCAATTCCCAGCATCCCATTTGGTCCCTGGAGAACCGCCAGGAGTAATTCCTTGACTGCAAAGCCAGGAGTAACCCCTGTGCATTGCCGGTTGTGACCCAAAATGGAAAAAAAAAAAAAAGCATTCATAAAATAAAAAAAAACCAAATCAAAGCAGGGAAAAAAATGGGTTTGCCTATTTTATTATTATTATTATTATTATTTTTCAATGAAAAAGAAGGTTCTTACCTGCCCGCTTCGACGGCCATGGAGCAGTTGGAGAGCTCTGTGGATGGGCACTGGCTGTGGAGTCCGTTCACCCTGTAGCACAGTAAGAGAACCAGAAGAAATGATTTTGGTTTATAGCTGCAAATATTCTCTTCCACTAATGGAGGCACACCTCTCTGCTTTCTTTACACTGATTTTTTCTTCTCAATATTAGAATATGCCCTTCTTTTCCACAACCACAAAATAAACAAGAAACATTTTTTTTCTATTTCTTTTCCCCTTAAGATACAGTTTCTTGAAAAGAAATCAGAACATTGCATTACTTGTCTCTCTGATTCCATATTTATTATTTCTCTTCTGCTGGTTGGTTTGTATGCAATTTATTTAAAATTATTTTTAAAATTCTTAATAAATTGAATGAAAAATTAATCCAATAAATTCAAGCTAGAGAGAAAGTAGAGGAGTGTCGACACTTGCCCTGCGTGCAGTGGGACCCTAGCTTTATTCCCAGCTCTGTACATGGTTCCCTCAGTCCCACTGGGAGTGATCCCTGAGCTTCCAGCCAAAAGTAAAATCTGAGCACCACTGGGTGTGGCAAAAATCCAAACCAAACCACAACAAACTCTTGCAAAGGCTGCTCTTCAACACCTTGTTAAATTAAAAGGACAGACTTTACCTTTTATCTTTTTGAACTTTTTATGGAGCATCGGTGTTGCACCCTTTGAAACTCTCTCCTCTTTTTGGCATCTGTGAGTCGGCTCCTTTCCCTTTTCCCTGATTGCCAGTCCAGCTCATCTGTTTTTAGTCTCCTTGGAGACTTTTCAGATCACTTCCTAAGCTTTAAAATTCTTAGAGCGCTGTACTCTTTTCCTTTATTTGCCTTCTCGGTATTCTCCATGGGTTATCTTAATTATGCTTAAAACTTCAACTACAATCTATATGCTGATGCTCTTCAAATCTCTATCTCTAGCCTAGCTCTTTTCACCTGAGGTCCAACCTATAAATATAAGTGCTTATTGAACATCTCCACTCGGATGCCCCACAGGCATCTTAACTCAGCATTCTCAAAAAGCTCTCATTTCTATTCTAAAAACCTGGCTTCTTCCTCCCTCTCTTGGTGATAATAGCATTGGTTTGTCTAAGAAAAAAAAAAACATGACAAATAGCCTTAAGTCTTTCCTCTCCTCTCCTCCTCCCTCCAAATTCATTCAATAACCAAGGCACATTTCTCTTCCCTTGCCTCCAAAGAAATCCATTCTCTTATCTCCTGACCTCAAGCTATTTCCCATTTCACAAGTCAGGCCCTAACCTGTTCTAGCTCTGATAGCTGGGCTGAACTGTCCCTGCATTCAGTGCTATCCCTAGCCTTGCACTCTCAATTCTAAATCATCCTAGAGTGATCTTTAAGAAATGCAAATGTGTGGGTCTGGAAGCAATAGTGGAGCAGGTAGGGCAGTTGCCTTGCACTCCGCTGACCTGCTGACCTGACCGGATTCGATTCCCAGCATCCCACATGGCCCCTTGAGCACCTCCAGGAGCAATTCCTGTGTGCATGAGCAAGTGCATCATCGGTTGTGACCCAAAAAAAGAAAAAAAAAAAGAAAAGAAATGCAAATGTGTTCATGCCATATCTTGCTTAAAATCTTTCAGTGGGACAGAAGAGAGAGATCAGGGGTCATGGGCGCATGCCCCTGGATGTGCACAAATTTAATCCCTGCACAATCCTGAGCACAAGTTTAATCCCTGGCACTGAATAGCTCCCCAACCAGTACTAGGAGTGGCTTTAGCGGCCCCCAGCATAGCTGGGTTGCAGCACTGCTGCATCTTGGGTTCCAAACATTGGGCTTAGGAGCCCAAACCCCCCAAATCATTCACTTGCCTCCCTTGTGATAAAAACCAGTGACTCCATCTCACCCTGTCTGACCCCTCCTCACTTTACTACTTTCCTTGTTGGACCTGCTTTAAGTAAGAGAGACTGGAGTAATAGCTTAATCTCTAGCTATTTCACGCTTGACTTCACTTTACTGAGGCTGCCAATTAGTGATTTAGAGGTCAACTCTTAGATGCTCTGCTGGGAGCTGAGAGCTTTTTGAAGTAGCCCTTGAAGAGTCTTCTTCACCCTCCTTGCCACTAAAAACCTACCCCGACTTGAACCTATGACCTGAAGTTGAACAACTATTTATCTTGATGGCTATTACAGGAGCTAGGAAAATAAGCATCGAGAATGTTTTGGTTATTTCTAAGTACAATTTGGTCTAAATCTGGAAATGTATTTTAATTCATTCTTTTAAATGTGATATTTTCTTTTCTTTTTGTTTTGGGGGCACACCTGGTGGTTCTAAGGACTTTCTCCTGGCTCTGTGCTCAGGGATCACATCAGGTGGGTCTTGGGGAACCATAGGGGGTGCAGAGGATTGAATCCAGGTCATCCCCATGCAAGGCCCTACCTGCTATTCTCTCCCTCTCGCCCCAAATGCAGTATTTTAGACATAGATGATGGTGCTTTCTTTCTTCTACTTTCTCTCTTCCTACAATTGCTCTCCAGAGAGAGGTGCACTGATACCTTCAATTCTACTGACTTTTATAAAACATTATATGAGTGCTTTCACTTTTCAGTCTTGTCATCTGTCTTTTTCTGATTTTAGCTGGGTATGATCATATCAGCAGGAAACAACCTTACTCCTGATTCATCCACAAACTCTCTCTGTTTTTATTGCCTTTCAAATAGAGGAACAGAGCAGAATGGACAAGACAATTAAAAGGGATGCATTCACACAAATTCCCCTTTAAAGGTAAGGAAGAATCAGCAAATACCATATATATAAATGCCAACTTATAAACAGGAAAGATATAAATAAAGCATTTCAGACAGATTAGAGATAGATGGATAATGGCAAAACTATTTGCTTGTGAGAAAATGGCACTTAAAATACTAATAGATTGCTTTTTTTCTAATGATAAATAGAATAATGGATTATAAACAATATTTTGAAAGGTTGACAACAAGATCTATCAAAGCCAAGCTTCTCCTCTCCCTACCTGTTAGTTTTATCTACAGCCCAAAAGAAATTAGGATTGTCAATGGGAGGAGGGAGGTATCAATATTATGCATCTTACACAAGGATGTCCTCCACCAGGGTGTGAAGGGCACTGGGATTGCGGATCAGTTTGTCAAGGAAGCTGACAATGTCAGTAAATTTCGGTCTGTGATTTCTCTCTTTCTGCCAGCAATGGAGCATCAGCTGATGTAGAGACGCTGGACAGCCCATGGGAGCTGGAAGTCTATACCCTTCTTCAATGGACAGAATGACCTACATGCAAAAACACATTGGTTATTCTCTTTCTGGGGCAGACAAAACAAACATTAGGTTATAATTCCTTTTTACACAGGAAGCAGAAGCCGGACTATTAGTAAGGACGAAAACTACTTGTGATCGCAAGTGGTCTAAACAAGTGGTACAATTTGAAAGTTGTAAATCAAAATTGACAACATCTCCACCATATTTGCTGAGGAACACATGGTTTTTGAAAGGAACACATGGTTTTTGGAACCTGTGGTACATGGAAAGGAGACTGAGTCACAGAAATAATTATTAAGTGATTTATCCAGAACTTCTCACACCCAATTTTGACATCAGAAAATCCAGGAAAAGAATGATGCAAATTGAAAAAACCATGTGTAAGAAATGTTTTAAATAAAACTGTACTTCTGCTGAAGTTCTGAAGTATTGAATTGTATAACTGAAACCCAAGCACAAAAATTTATAAGTCTATAACTGTACCTCATGGTGTTTCACTAATTAAAAAAAATCCTTTTAATGATTACATCATTAAATATGCTTTTTAGAGCTATCCTTCCTTTATTTTCCATATTTCCTATTTATTTCCTCTTCACTGACTTCTGCCTTTCCCCTAGTCTGACATTGATAAGACTATAAAATCCTCTCATAACTTCTGAAGTGTTTATTCACTGAACTGTTATTAGTAGCTACCAGAAGGCCATAGAGCAATCAGGACATTCAGCCGGACTGTCCTCTGGACCCAAGTTCTCCAGTAAACTTTGCTGTGATGACAGGATTGTTCTCCCCAACACACTAGCAACTCGTCACATATGTCTATTAAGCACTAGGATTAATTTTTACTTTTAGTTAGAATTAGATATTAATTCATTAGAATTGAAATAGCACATATAAGTAGTAATTAGTTTATGGAATAGTATAATTTTAGGAAACCAAAGTTGGTGAAAAAGAGGATTATCCTTTCCTTCTTTAGGAAAACATACAAGACATGATAAGGATAATAGAGTTTAATAGACAGTTCTGCCTGAAAATTTCTAACAAAGCAATGAAATTGGCCCTGGATTCTTTTAGGGCTTGGAGGTGGTTTTGAGCCACACTGTGTTACTCAGGGCTTAATCTTGGCTCTTTTTTGGGGGTTTGTTCTTTTGGGATCTGGGGTGGGGGCACAATGGGTTCTGGGGATCAAACTTGGGTCATAGGAAAGGCAAGTGTCTTAACCCCTATAGTATATCTCTGCCTCTAAAATTTAAAATTTAGTAGAAAGAATTAAATTGATCACACACCTAAAATTTCTGACTTCAAATGTAGCTAGAGATTCAAACAACATAATTCACAAATAATGGCTAAAATATGCAATATTTTTCTATTGAATTATTTATCCCAAAAGAGAAAATGTACTACTTGTCCAAATGAAATGTATTCAAACCACTTGAAATGTACTACTATATGTGCTAAGTATAAGGGATAATTAATCAGTAAAGAATGAGTAAGGTATACCCAATCCTGTTTTTAGGATATGCGTAATGTCGTGAAGGAGAAATGAGTTTGATAATGGTAAATAAATACCAGGTAGAACAAGGTGCTATGAAATCATGTGTGAGAAATGCCCAATCTAGTCCCAGGAAAGCTTTCCAGAAGATGAATTTACTCGAGCCAAGTAGGTGATATGAGGTTATGTCTCCTGGTCAGTGAGTAAAGTAGAAGGATTAGGATGAGTCTTCAAAGTGACGAATGGTAAGATTTGAAGCTGGAAAGTGAAGTAAAATTTGTATTTCACACATAAATGATTTTGCATGCATAAATGTGAACTTTTTTTTTTTCCCAAAGGAGAGTTTTAACAAGGACATTAGATTTGCCTCTTGTAAGTCATTCTGGCTTCACAATGGAGAGTACACTGAAGGGGCGGGAAGGGATGGTCCCTGGAAGGAGGACTGCAGTGATCTCGGTGGGAGATCAGGGTGGCCTTGGTACAGTAGTGGCTGTGGCACACGAGAAGTGGACTGCTCTAACAGGAATATGGATGCAGTAAGATTAGATGTGCCAGAAGAGGCAGCAGACAAGAATAACATCTGGTTTACAGATCTAGGTCTTGGGTTTGGTGATCTAGTAAGATGAAGAATGCAAGAGGACACGAAATGATTTGGGGCTGGAGTAATGAGTTCAGTTTTATACTATGAGCTTTGTTGTCAGACCGAAATAACCCATAAGAGGCCAGAGAGATAGTTAAGGTACTTGCCTTGCTCATGGCTGACCTAGTTTCAATCCCTGACACTATAGCAGTCCATCATGCACTGCTAGTAATCTCTGAGTTTAGAGCCAAGAGGAAATTGTGAGAATGACTGGGTGTGGCCCAACTTCTCCCTAATAGATAAAGTAATTCATGTAACTGTGTGTATCGAGTATGGACTGGGCATTTTTGTTTACACAGCTCATCTTTAAGTTTTAACTATTATGTAAATATGGTTATTCGTGGTTTATAGGTAAGAAAACATAACAAACAGATTAGCAGAATGGACCAATATGATAAAGCTGATAATTTCCCAAACAATGGACTAAAACGCTCATGGTAGCCCCTAATCCATGACAGTAGTAAAAATCATCTCTTCTGAGCATTGACTCTGACCCCTGCCTTTCCCCTTGAATTAAACCCGAGACATTCACAGTAGTGGATCACTCCCCACGCTTCCATTCTCACACCCCTGTTGTCCCTGAGGTACAGGACAGCAGCATTAGCTCAGCGTTTTCTCCAGATCTGTAAATCTATCACCTATCGGACAAAGCATGCTAGAAATTCAGGTAGGCAGGCACCTTTAGATCCATTTTGTTCAAAAATAACTCCTCCTCACTTGGTATTCTTGTCTTTTGTAAAGGAATTCTTGTAAGAAATTTGAGCCAGAGATTAGGGGATCATTTGGATCCATGCCTTTCCAGATGCTCAAAACTAGACATTTTTCTTTAAATGATTCTACCACCTCCACCTGCTTTAAGCTGCTCGCTTTATAATCCTCTTTCCAAATGATTTATTTCCCATTTTTATTACTGTGTTATTCTTCTACCAGTCTCCCTTTTTTCCCCCTTTCCTTCTTCAATCATCTCTCTAGTGCATCCTACTGAACTGAAGGTACATTTTTGTTATCTTCAAAGATGCTAACTATGAGTAGCACAATGAAGAATTTTGATAATATAGGAAATGAGAGATACGTTTTGCTTTGAGCATTTTTTTTTGAGGAAGGGGTTTTGGATTGTGCTTCTTCTTAGTTTTAGCACTTACAGATGGCACACTAACTATGGTTAATGTATTTCATTATAATGCGACAGATTAACCATCTTAGTAGAGGAAAATCTCTTATTTTCAATGGATTATATATTATGATTAACCTCAAACTCTTTTTCCAGTCTATTAATTAAATTACTCATTCAAAATAACCTGAAGTATGCAGATTCTTATATACATAGTGATTGACCTTATAATGGATTTTTCAAACTAGGACTATTTTGAAAAGAGAAAAAGACTATCAATTATACAAGAGTAGGTCTAGACCAGAACTGTTCTTGGCAAATTAAGACACATATTCTCTTCACTGAAATTTAAGATTAGATTGAGGAAGATACAACCTATTACAGAAAAGAAAGTTGGGGCAAAGTTTTGTGGGGGACCCAAAGTTCTAGAATATTTAGTACGCTGCAATATACTTAAATATAAATATTGCTGCACTTTTGATCTAAAAGAGAAACTTCTGGAATTATTTATGGCTTGCTAACAAACTTCTGTCAGTTTTTAGTTACGTTGAGAACCCATCTAATAACACTACTTAAATTTTATTCCCATTGATAAAGATATCAAACTCTTTTGGACCTGGGAGTGGGGGAGGGGGAGAGTCAACTCTCAAGAGATGCTCAGGGTATCTAGGAATCCCTTCTGGCGATTCATTGCCAACTAGGCCAAGTTCAATGTGAGGGCCCTGAAGTGCCCTGTGGTGCTGGGAATTATGTGGGCTACTCAGCAGAGCTGAGATCAGGGTAGGGGGGTCTCCAGATGAGACTCAGCGATGCTCAGGGAGCGTATGGTGCTGGGAATCAAACCTGGCTGACTGCATGGACGGCCTGAGCATTAACCTTTATACTACTTCTCTGGTATTAAGATATCAGACTTTTAAAATTCCATCAGCATCAGTATCCAAAACAAGAAAAAACCTCTAAGAACCAAAACCAAAAACAACACCCCCTCCAAAAAAAAAAAAAAACCCAAACCGAAAACCCATCTCTAATATTTGAAGCCCTATAGTAGTTCAGTAAGGGCTTGACCCTTGCTAGTGTACAGTTGTACCCTGTGCTCTGGCCCCTTCCAAGTCCTTTCCTGTTTTCAGTCAGATAAGCTGAAAGGCCCCAGAGCAGCAACTGTTAAGCACAGTGTCTTGCCAAGTCAAAGATGAAGCTCCAATTGCCATAATATGATCTCTGAAAGTTGTGTCACAGGGCAGCTTGAGAAAACCTACAGAAACCTTTGTCATTACACAACAGCTCTTTTGTGAGAACTGTTGCTTACAGGTTCTTTGGAGTCCTTAATTAAGGATTGACAGGAAACCAGGAGCATATGGGGTGCTTTGCCTAAGTGACTAATTGAGGCTTGTTGATTTAGAATATGAAAGGGTGATAATTAACTAGGGAGAATTTTGAAACAGTTTGCTTTTATGATAGTTGTAGGCTGTCATCTTTTGGAGAAGAGTTATACAAGGTTATACCCTTATTTAGAAATCTAAGAAGAAAATTAAAATAAAGTGAAAAAATATGAAAATGACTGGAGCGATTATTTCCATGCAAAGGTAGAAGGGATTAGTTCTGTCAAAAATATATCTAAAACCTGGGTGATGATTTTAAATAGGCGGTGTTGATTCATTGTCCTCAACACTGCAATGTTTCAGCTATCTAGAATAAACATAATATAATCAACGTAATCATCTGGGGCACGTGGCAGGATGTTCTGCTCTTGCTAACTTCAAGTTTTCCAATTG